AAAATGGAAATGGTCTATGCTAACTATATAGTACCCCAAATAGTGGGAGCTTTACTAAGAATAAGGTACCCCCTTGCTTTCGGAAACTCCCATATAGAGCTCTTCAAGGCTCTGCCCGTGGGCAACGACCCGGAGCCACCGGGTTGCCTCAAGTTAGGATTTAGGGTTTAGGGTTTAGGGTTTAGGGCCAAGTCGCAACCCTAAATGCTAGCTGCATGGCGTAAGCTATCTGAACCCCACAAGCCTTTAGGGTCGTTTTTTCGTAACGGTACCGTACTATTTTGGGAACCCGAAATACAAAATATAAAGAACTCCGCATGAGAAACATAAACCGTAAAACCTACAACACCCCAAGAATCCCTAAACCCTAAAACACCCCAAAAAAACCCGAAAACCCTAAAAACCCCTGAAGTGTGGGCATCGAGCCTCACACCGTCGGCGTGCTGCTTCGAGGCCTCCTTCAGACCCTCCTGAAAAGCATAGGGGAGGTTTCCTCTTTCGGGCCTGGCCTACAACATTAAGTTTAGGGTTTAGGGTTTAGGGTTTAGGGTTTAGGGTTTAGGGAACCCCTAAACACCGGGTCCCTTACATTCATTGGGTTTAGGGTTTAGGGTAAATCTGGAGCCCTAAACCTGCAACCCCTATGCCCGAAATACGGCTTAGGAGTTTAGGGATACGGCCCAAACTCATATACCTTGTTTAAAATGTGGCAGTCTAGCTTAGGGTTCACCCACAAACCCTCAACTACACCCACCCACCCTAAATCCGAAGCCCTAAACCCTGCAAACCCTAAAGCCTAATGTAAACCCTACACCCACCCACATCTCCCCTGCAACCCATGTTCGGCTCCTGCTGCTCCTTGACGGACTCCTTCATCCTGCAATCAAAAACCAACCCCTGAAGCATTAGATGACAGCTAACAGCTTTGGGGTTTAGGGTTTAGGGTTAAGGGTTTAGGGTTCACGATGTGGGGTTTCGAATGTGGGGCTTGTACCAGCTGCGACAAGGTTTGGAATGTGGGTTGCGTCGAACCTGCGCCCTGGACCCCACATGCGCCAAACCTTTGAACTCGTTCTGAGCCCCTTACAAAGTTCTATCCTCCGCGACAGATTTTACGCCCTGAACCCTAAACCCTAAACCCTAAACCGTGGGGTTTCGTGACTTTCGGCAAGTTGGGTTCTGGAGTTGCTCTTGAACAGCTGCGGACTCGAGACTACGGAAGTTGAGGGCTAGCTGTCGCAAGATAAATCAGCCTAGGTTTTAGGGTTTAGGGTTTAGGGTTTAGGGTTGCTTTGCGTGGAGAAAGGAGAGGCCGGACTTTTTGAAACCCCAAAGGTCTATACCCATAGGCCCCTTAGTAGTGCCTTTTTGTGGCGTATATTGAGGATCCTGTTAGGTAATCCCCAAAAGGAACTACTATGGGGCCTATGGGTATACCTTAAACCCCTAAACCCTGAATGCCCGGGGCCGGATCAGATTTCAGGGGTCTTACCTGGCCCCAATGCGAGCTGCATGCAAGAACCCGAATCTCCGTTCCCTAAACCCTACGGCCCTACAACCTGAAACCCCTATGTAAAGCTACCCCGAGAAACCTCAAACCCTGAAGTACATGGGGGATTACGTAACTGGTGTTGCTCTCATGCGAGTACCAGCAGTAGCGTTGTACCGTAACATGGAGCTCGGAACAATCAATAGTAGCAGCCGAACAGAAGAGTACCTCAAAACGGTAGGTTTACAGGGTAGGGTAGAAAATCTAGTCACTCGGATGTGGCCCTAAGCATTCTTGGTCTTCGCGTCCTATTAACGTCGGCTCGGCTTTTCAGGGTGCCAAAACTAGAGTTCAGGGCACCGGTAATATTCGACAGGTATAAACTTTTGCAATGCACCCCCGTTTTGAAGCCCTTGCTGTCGCTTTACTCTTCGGGTCCCCTTTGGTCAATCGGAATTGCAAGACAAACACTACGCCCATCCAGACTCTGAGCCACAATGACAAATTAACTGGCTTTCAGGCTTGAGGGTTGGGTTTTTGGAGGTTGGGGTTTAGAGCACACCTGGAAGACCAGTTCGCAACAGCACACCCACACACTTGTACACAGCAAGCCATCACAAAATCACAATAAGCTCAAGTGCCGACAATCGTCTGCTGCAGCTGCATTCGTATTATGAGGCCAGCAGCACGCAATGCGCAGAAAGGTGCGATTCCTGCCGACGGCAGGAGGCTAAGTTCTAGCCTTCAATGAAAACTCGCCGAAATGGACATACAATGCTGGGCATCAATGCTTGTCTTTCCGCCTTAGGAAGATCATTTCCTCTTGCAAGGTGCGAACCCCAGTCACCAACCATTTTGCTCGCCTTGCTTTTGCTCCTTGTGACATGTCTAGACATGACTGGTATCTCTCTTCACACCATGGCCAGCTTGTGAAGAAAATTACTCTTGCTTGAAGGCTTCTTCTGTAACCAACACAACAGAGACATGGATGTTCTCCTTGATCGGACAGTAGATGAAATTGAAAGCCAGCACGAAACTTGTGAAACCCTGATTATAAAGCTTCGGGAAACCTTCATAGTAGAATTATGGAAGCCTGAATCCTGATACGAATAAACCATATAGACCCTAGGCCCTATCACCCTAACCGTCATGTGCCCCTTAACCCTAAACCCTAAGCCCTAAACCCATAAGACAAACGGCAAAAACGGGGCAACTCCCGGTGTAAGTTGCGGACGTGCCAAGTGTGGCCAGCGCTGGCCAACCTGGTTCGGGGACTTTCGGGGAAGGTGCAGAAATGTTAAACCCTAAACCCTAAACCCCTAAACCCTAAACCCTAAACCCTAAACCCTAAACCCTAAACCCTAAACATAGGGGCCTTACTAATAACCTCAAAGGGTTGCTTTAAGGGTTCTATAAGGGATACTGTAAAGAGTTAGGTAATATAGGGGCCTGAATAATTAGAATAAGGTTTTGGGGCTCATTATACT